TCCTGGGGATGTAAGGCTGGTTCAACATATGCAAATCTATAAACGTAATTCACCACATAAACAGAACCAAAGACAAAAACCACATGATTATCTCAATTGATGCAAAGAAGGCCTTCACCAAAATTCAACAGCCCTTTATGCCAAAAAACTCTCAATAAACTAGGTATTGACAGAACGTATCTCAAAATAATAAAAGCTATTTACGACAAACCCACAGCCAATATCATACTGAACAGGAAAAAACTAGAAGCATTCCCTTTAAAAACTGTCACTAGACAAGTATGCACTCTCTCACCACTCCTATTCAATATAGTATTGGAAGTTCTAGCCAGAGATATTAGGCAAGAAAAAGAAATAAAGGCCATTCAGTTAGGAAAAGAAGAAGTCAAATTGTCTCTGTTTATAGACAACATGATCGTATATTTAGAAGAACCCATTGTCTCAGCCCAAAACCTACTTAAGCTGATAAGCAACTTCAGCAAAGTCTCAGGATACAAAATCAATGTGCAGAAATCACAAGCATTCGTATACACCAGCAACAGACAGAGAGCCAAATGATGAATGAACTCCCATTTACAATTGCTACAAAGAGAATAAAATACCTAAGAATACAACTAACAAAGGATGTAAAAGATCTCTTCAAGGAGAACTACAAACCACTGCTCAAGGAAATAAGAGAGGACACAAACAGGTGGAAAAACATTCTCATGCTCATGGTTAGGAAGAATCAATATTGTGAAAATGGCCATACTGCCTTAAGTAGTCTATAGATTCAGTACTATCCCCATCAAGCTACCATTGACCTTCTTCACAGAACTGGAAAAGGCCACCTTAAAATTCATATGGAACCAAAAGAGAGTCCACATAGCCAAGACAATCGTAAGCAAAAAGAACAAAGCGGGAGGCATCACGCCACCTGACTTCAAACTATGCTACAAGGCTGCAGTAATCAAAACAGCATGGTACTGGTACCAAAACAGAGATATAGACCAATGGAACAGAACAGAGGCCTCGGAAGCAACCCCACACATCTACAACCATCTGATCTTTGACAAACTTCCCAAAAGCAAGGGGGAAAGGATTCCCTGTTTAATAAATGGTGTTGAGAAAACTGGCTAGCCATGTGCAGAAAGCTGAAACTGGACCCCTTCCTTACACCTTATACAAAAATTAACTCCAGATGGATTAAAGATTTAAACATAAGAACTAACGCCATAAAAACCCTTGAAGAAAACCTAGGCAACACCATTCAGGATATAAGCATAGGCAAGGACTTCATGACTAAAACACCAAAAGCATTGGCAACGAAAGCCAAAATAGACAGATGGGATCTAATTAAACTCCAGAGCTGCTGCACAGTGAAAGAAACAATCATTAGAATGAACCGACAACCAATGGAATGGGAAAAAATTTTTGCAATCTACCCATCTGAAAATGGGCTAATATCCAGAATCTACAAAGGACTAAAGCAGATTTACAAGAAAAAAAACAAACCCATTCAAAAGTGGGCGATGGATATGAACAGACGCTTTTCAAAAGAAGACATCTATGAAGCCAACAAACGTATAAAAATGCTCATCGTCATCGGTCATTAGAGAAATGCAAATCAAAACTACATTGAGATACCGTCTCATGCCATCTAGAACGGCAGTCATTAAAAAATCTGGAGACAACAGATGCTGGAGAGGATGTGGAGAAAAAGGAACACTTTTCCACTGTTGGTGGGAGTGTAAATTAGTTCAACCATTGTGGACGACAGTGTGGCGATTCCTCAAGGACCTAGAAATAGAAATTCCATTCGACCCAGCAATCCCATTACTGGGTATATATCCAAAGGAATCGTTCTATTATAAAGACACGTGCACACATATGTTTGTTGGGGCGCTGTTTACGATAGCAAAGACCTGGAACCAACCCAAATGCCCATCAATTATAGACTGGACAAGGAAAATGTGGCACATACACATCATGGTATACTATGCAGCTATAAAACATGAGTTTGTGTCCTTTGTGGAGACGTGGATGAATCTTGAAACCATCATTCTCAGCAAACTGACACAAGAACAGAAAATCAAACACCGCATGTTCTCACTCATAGGTGGGTGATGAACAATGAGAACACTTGGACACAGGGAAGGGAACAACACTCACAGGGCTAGTTGCGGGGGGTGGAGAGGAAGGGAGAGGAGGAACCGCAGGGGGCAGGGAGGATGGGGAGGGATAACACTGTGAGAAATGCCTGATGTGGGCGATGGTGGGGGGAGTGGAGATGGCAAACCACCATGGCATGTATGTACCCTATGCAACAGTCCTGCAGGATGCACGATGTGCACATGTACCCCAGAGCCCAAAGTACAATTTAAAAAAAACACGAATTAAATAAATTTATTCCCCCTCAAAAAAATAATTAAACATGGCTCCTGTTGTTTAATTACTAAAATAAAAAGTTTTAATAACTAAGTGAACTATTTACAGCTTTTCAAATAGTTTGAGCAATTTAAGTAGAGGCACAAATTATTCACTCAGAATGGCTTTTCCTTATCTGATTGTAGCTGACTTTTGTATAGGCCTTTTAAATTTAGAGGTCAGCTGTTAACTGTTGGACTTGCCTCTCAACAGTCTGTTGTTTTTTATTTCTTTATGGTGGAAGGAATTTAAAGTAAACTTTAAAATTTTAAGCAAATGAATAAATCAGATAATAGGAGATGTTAATTTTGTGTTTCCCAGTGTTGTTAAAATTAGTAGGTATTGCCTTTATAACCGGGAAAAAATATTTTTATAAATTAATATAAGTAACTTTTAGTAGTATTAATAGAACTAGAAATAGTTTATATGTCTTCAGAGTTACCTATGATGTAGTAGGGGAGATGAGGATAAAGGGAGAAGAAGAAACAATAAAACAAGTAGCAAGGAAACATTCCAAAATAGGAAAAAATTACATGACAAGTTAAACCAAATTTGTTATAACAATAAATATGTGGGATGAGGTCACCTTTTACAACCAGAAGGCTTGCTACAAAGTTTACTTTTTTCAAAAGTATTAAAAAAATACTTTGTTTTATGATACACATTTTAAAAATCTTTTAAGAACTTAAAAGGATGGGCATACCATGCAAATTATCAGAAATAAAGCAGAGGAGGTCATAATATTCAGCATGATAAAATTTAAAAAATAATTAATGTGATAAAACAATAATGCATATAAGCTGTGATGTCGATGTCAAGAAGCTATATGTACCAAATAATACAGAACTAAAATATAAAAGTCAAAAATGTTCAAAGAATAAAGAGAATTTTTAGAACTCAATTATAGTTTAAATATTTTATAGTACTCTTCTAGGTCTGTAACAGATAAAACTGATAATTATATTATTCCTATATTCTGTATTTTAATTCAATTGATATACAAGACAAGGAACTATATATTCTGAAAACAAAATGTCTTTTCTGATTCATGAAATGTTGACCATGTTTGTAGTCACAGGGAAAATTTCAGGCAATTCCAAAGAGTAGAAATAGGTTCCACTAGATTTTCTGTTTTCAGTACAATACATTTAGAGCTAAAGTAATACAGATAAAGAGGAAATCTGGTGATTTTCAGATATTTTCTAACAATTCTTGGGTCAAAGGAAAAAATAAAAACTATAATTCCAACCTATTACCTGCATAATATAACATTAGAGTATACTGCATTTTCTTCTATTTTCCTGGTAAACTATGCATTCTGATTTCTGAAAGGTAGTTAAACGACAGCATTCAATAATAAATATTTCTTCACCCTCTGTAAAGAGGAAGGCATTTTGTTTGATGTGAGATATGACTCGGAAAAGACTCTTAGCCTTGGGAACCTGTAAATCTATTGAATTGTATCATCAAATGCACACTAGTAGTAAATTACTTGGGATGGATACATGAAAAATTCTCTTTATAGGTTTGGTGTGTAGTGTGATTAATTTTTAGGAGATACTTGTGATACCCCTATGGGAAGGAGAAGTATGATAGTTTGTTATGGCTGATTGATTGAACTGTGTATAGATTTTGGTTTCTTTTTACCTGTATCCTGTTTGCATCTTTTGTTCAGTATTCCTCTAGGCTTCAAATTTTTCATCTGTGAATGAGGAGGTTGAATTAAAATATAAAGTTATTTACACATGTTATTTTTGTGTAGTTGTGAATAAATTCATTAAGTGAGTATTGAATGCTGACTCCTAGTCAGTCTATGGTTTAAACTTACGCGCTGATGGGAGAGAGAAATAAGCTTAGGGTGCCACGAAAGCAGAGACAGGAAAGTATATCTTAGAAGGAAGGGGAGAGAAAAGGGCATTGGGGAAGCTTTCACAGAGGCAGTGTGACATCTTAGTTAGTCTTGAAAATAAATGAGTTTGTCAAGTAAACAAGAAAGGAGAGAGTTCTAGGCTCAGGAAGTAGAATGTACAGAGGCAGAAAGAATACATTTACTTTTGGAAAAACACAGGCCATTCATGTGATGCTTAGCATGGGATTATGGAGTAGCAGGATATTAAACATTGAAGTATATGCCAGCCAAATTGTGAAAGCTTATTATGTCATACTAAATAATATGGGCTTTAAGTTAAATACAGGTCACCATGGAAGTGTTTTCTGTTTGGGCATGGAACTGTAAAGTTTACTTGAAGTGGATGCAGAGATAGCAGTCAGAAAACTGGCAGTTCAAATGAGGCATACAATTAAAATAATGGCAAGAGATGATACACAGATTTATTACAGGTCCCTAAAATGGATAGGCTTCATAGGGTCTGTGGAAGCCCTGGAAATGTACGTAAGACTTAACATGAATGTATTTTCTTTGGGACATGGGTCATACGTTTCATCTGATCATGCAACAGGGCTATTAGTGTAAATATGTATCACGGGGAAAATTGACAGGATGATATTCTACAAACTATGAAGTTTAAATAACTTTACATTTTACTTCATTCACTAATGACTAATCTATTTTTTTTTTTTTTCACTTTTTGCAGTGGACAGGCCAAAATCTCAGCAAGTTCGGACCTCTAGTACAATAAGGCGAACCTCCTCTTTGGATACAATAACAGGACCTTACCTCACAGGACAGTGGCCACGGGATCCTCATGTTCACTACCCTTCATGCATGAAAGACAAAGCTACTCAGGTAAAATAAGCAAATCAAAATCAGCTTATCACCCTGCACTTCTTCTGTTTTGATCACAGTAAGGAAAATGTAATGTAATAAAATTTTCCCAAATTTGAAATACATCCACCCAAGGAAGAAAGGAAAATCCATTGTTTTAAATAAACTTTGCAATAATTGTTTTTTGTCATCTGGGTTTTAGAAGCTTTGAAATTCTTTAATACTTAAATAGCACATCAGTCTATATTACATGGCTTTAAAGACTTTTGTTGTAATTTTAAAAATTGCTTTCCAATAGAAATTAAAATGATTAGTAACCATTTTAGAAAATATAAAACTTTTTAAAGAGTAGTTTGCACACTTCTTGAAAATAATTTATAAAGTATTAACATATGCCTAATAAAATGTATGATGGATAATTTATTTTTTTCTGTTAAAACAAAGATTAAAATCCTTCAGAGGGAAATATAAATTAACTGTCACATTTCGCGTTTTTGGAAGGATCCCCAAGCTTTTGATTAAAAGCTTTTTCTCCATGACAGGAAAAAAAAATCTGAAAACATCTTTATTCATGATTATCTGAGTTATTGACCATATCTTCCTAACAGTGGTCAATCAGCATTTATTGTCATCATGAAGAATACTAAAAATATGATATGGTTATTGGTTTTGAAGAACCTGCCACACAGCTAGGTAGATAAGACATACATTTAAAAAACTGGTAAATGAAGACAGTGTTAGATGAATGGGGTCTGTAAATACCAGGACATTCAAAGGAAAGAGCATATTGGGCTCTGTAGGTTAGGGAAATAGAATAGAGTTTCATCTCTGAAGAATGAGGAAAAAGAGAGGAAGAGAGTTTTTTGTACATGATCTATAAAACTGTGCTGCTCAGTTTTTGTCATTTTCTCAGGCAAGCTTGAAACTGTGAAATTGGCTTCTTCTTTATCATCTATCTCATCAATTCTGTCCTTGTAATATTTTATGCTGCCCTAGTCTTTTGATTGAGTATTCATTTAATGAGGAAGAGGATAAGTTTAATATGGCAAGCAGTGGAATTTCCAAGTAGAAATAACTAGCAAAACGTAGAAGTGTGGGTCTAGACAGTTAAAGATCTGGGCATAGATGTATTCAAATGAAGGCCCACTGAGGGAACTTTCTGAGATAATGGAAATGTTAATTAATTAAATTTAAAAATTAATTTTAAGTAAAAGTTATTTATATTAATGGTATATAGCATGATTCTTTGATATATACACACATTTGAAATGATTAAATCAATCTAATATATACCTCATTTTTGTGTGTGTGTTAGGAACACTTAAAATCTACTCTCTTAGAAATTTTCGAATATACAATATATTGTTATTTACTGTAGTCATCATGATATATAATAGATTGCTCGAAGTTATTTCTCATAACTGAAATTTTGTGTCCTTTGACCAGCATCTCCCCAGGACCACCAACCCTTAGCCTCTGATAACCATCGTTCTGTTCTCCATTTCTATAAGTTAAATGTTATATATCTTTTTTTTTTTTTTTTTTTTTTTTAAGGGTTTTTTTTTTTTTTTTTTTTTTTTTTTTGCGACAGGGTCTTGTTCTGTTGCCTAGACTGGAGTGCAGTGGTGTGATCTCGGCTCACTGCAACTTCTGCCTCCCAGATTCAAGCAATTCTCATGCCTCAGCCTTCCAAGTAGCTGGGACGACAGGCCCCTGCCACCACGGCCAGCTAATTTTTATATTTTTAGTAGAGACGGAGTTTCAGCAGTAGAGGCTAGTGTTGAACTCTTGGCCTCAAGTGAGCCACTAGCCTTGGCCTCCCAGAGTGTTGGGATTATAGGCATAAGCCACTATGCCTGGCCAGTGTTATATATCTTAATAGAAGTTTGGGTTATGTTGGTGAATTCATTTATCAGAACTTACCCAAGTGTACACTTGCACATTTTGCTATATAACTTTAATTTAAAAAACATAGAATATGAACAGAAAACAAATACTGAACTCAGATGTTTAGAGATGAAGTATACTGCTGTCTGCAACTTTGAAATGAATCAAAAATAAGATTGAATGATGAGTGGATAGCTAGATAGGTATCTGGTGGAGCAAATAGAGCAAAATGTTATATAGAGAGGCTGAGTATTGGCTTTATGGGCCCTCATGAACAGGTTTTTTCTCTTTTAACTGTTCTGTTTGAAATTTCTATTAGTAAAATGTTAAAAAAAAAAAAATTCATGGCCCTTCTGACTTCACTGCTTTGCAACCCAGTCTTAAGCTTTCTTTTCTGTAAATTAAAATTAGTAATACCCAATTTGCACATTCACATGTTTATTCTGAGGTCTAAAAGATACAGCTTTACATTTTTAAGGCCTCTGAAGACATGGATCACTGCCAGATTTAGAGTCATCTGTTTAGCATAGTAGAAAGAAAAACTAAAAGCCATTTGTGAAATATTATTACTGTAGCCTTGCAGACACAACCTTTATAAAACAAAAAATGTATTACCAACTCTTAAAATTGAACTTGCAATTAAGATTACTGTAATAAGACAGTGATGATTCCTCAGTCTTCACTCCATAGTCTGAGGTATAGTCTCTGGACAAATTTTAAATTCTGTGTTAGACTGTGTTTTTAAATGTGAAAGTAATATATATTCTTTGTAAAGTGGCCAAGTAATAAAAATAATAAATACAGCAATAATCAGAGGTATTTCCTACAACTTCCCAGGTATAGTAGTGTGATTAGAGCTGTTCATAGATACTGGCATTCTCTCTTCTGGGCACGTGGTAGGATTCTGCTTCTCTGCCCACTTGAAGTTAAGTGTGGCCATGAGACTTGATTTGGGAAGAAGCTTTAAAGAACTGGTGCATTCTCTCTGACAGGGAAGTAACTGTTCACTCCCCCTTTGTCCATCTGGATCACTGACAGTGACAAGCATAGCCTTCTTAATGACCCATACATGTTGTATGAGCAAGAAATTAACTTTTGCAGTTTTAAGTCACTGGGATTTGGAGATTGTGTGGTTACTATCCTATAATCAACACTCTACTGACTAATATGCAATGTATAATAACCTTTTAAACAAATTTTTGTAGGCTTTTTAGATCATAGTATGTTTCTTAATTAAAAGCTTTTCGAAAGATTCAGTGTGGACATAAAATCAGTATCAAAATAGAATGAAAGAAAAAAACAGCACAGGAAGTGTTTTTTCTTAGAGTTTTGTCATTTGCTTAATTAACTTTTCTTAATTTTATTTAAACATTTTTAAAAAATAGTGTCTTAATAGTTTATTTTCCTGTTATACCTTTCTTTGACTTTTATAGACCTTAAACTTTTTCTGATAATTAGACAATTTTCTTTGTATGAGTAGTCCATCTAAAGCAGTCTGTGGAACAGGCTACCTCAGTCTCAAAATGTCACCTCTTTTGAAATATCCATTAAATTAGAAGACATGATGGTGTTAATCTACAGAGGTGATTTTCATTAGGCTTTCTGCAAGTTAATGTATTCAGTCTTAACAAGAGAAACCACCACTGCCTTCTTGCTGCTTTTGTTTTTTTAAAACAAGGATTTAAAATGCTTTTGATTAGATTTATATTGTAATAAAATGATGGATTGAATGTTTTTTATATATAACTTGTAAAAGAAAAAAAGTTACTTGCCTAAACATAGTGTTTCCACTTCAGGCATCTGCTCCCTGCCAAGGTCAGCATCCTATCATAGTATAAAATCTCTGTGCTTCTCAGTTCTTGCAGGGATGCTTAGTGATATATTTATAGACATTCTGTAATTGTTCCAGAATGTTTTTAGTTCAGCCAAATTAAAATAAGTAAATATTTTAGTTATGTATTTTTGAGTTTTATCTGACTTTGTTTTAAAAGTAGTGCTTTTTGATGGTAAAATAATCCATGTAATATAGAAGGACATGAATAAGTAGCTGCTGACTCCCTGGACCTATTACTTAAAAAAATTATTATTAACAGGTTCTTTTTTTTTTTTTTTTTTTGGCGGGGGAGGAAACACGTTTTGAGAAATTTTCTCTAAGATATTATTGAAACATATACACTATGGAATTACATTCTATATCATATCATTGACTTGCTTTTTCCATTTGATGGATCATGGGGATCTCTGCTTATAACGTGTAAATCCCTACCTCATTTTTTCCCCTATTTTTTAAGTTGTGGTAAAATACATATAACATGATAGCCAGACATGGTGTCATGTGTCTGTAATCCCAGCTACTCCCGAGGATGAGGCAAGAGAATCACTTGAACCTGGGACGTGAAGGTTTCAGTGAAAGCTGGATTGCCCTACCACACTCCAGCCTGGGCAACAGAGTGAGACTTGTCTCCCCCCTCCCTCACCCCCAAAATAATTAAATTCACCATGGATGAAGATGAGTTAACCATGTTTTAAAGGTACAGTTCTATAGCATTAAGTGCATTCACATTATTGTAAAACCATTACCACCATCCATGTCTAACACATTTTCACTTTTTCCACCTATTAAATACTAGGTCTCCATCCTCCCCACCATACCCCAGCCTCTGGTAGCCATCATTCTATTTTCTTTCTCTGTGAATTTACTCTAGGAGCCTCATATAAGAAAAATCACACAGTATTTATCCTTTTGTGTCTGGTTTATTTTACTTAGTATACTGATTTCAGAGTTCATCTGTGTTGTAGCATGTGTCAAAATTTCCTTTCTTTTTAAGGTGGAATAATATTCCATTAGACATATGTACTGCATTTTCTTTATCCATTTGTCTGTGGATGGACATTAGGTTCTTTCTGCTTTTTGACAGTTGTGAATAATGGTGCTGGAAAAATTAGTGTATGGATATCTTTTCAAGCCTCTGCTTTCAATTCTTTTGTATATATATGTCCAGAAGTAGAACTGCTGGATCATAGGGTAATTCTGTGTTTAAATTTTTGATGAACTGACATGCTGTTTTCTACTACGGCTATACTATTTTATACTCCCATCAGCAATGCGCAGTGGTCCAGTTTTTCTGCATTTT